TGGATGAGCATAAAGGCCACCACACAGTGTCAGCGGCAGCAGAAAGGACTGAGAGGCAGAGAGAGCTGGAGGGGAGGTGGCAACAAATCCAGCAGAGAATCCAGGACAAACAGAAAGATGTGAAGCTGCTCCAGCAGGAGGTGGAGGCCATCGATCAGTCTGCTGACAAAACAGTGAAGGACAGTGGGAAGATGTTCACTGAGCTGATCCGTCTCATCCAGAACAGACGCTCTGATGTGGAGCAGCAGGTCAGATCCCAGCAGCAAACTGCAGTGAGGGGAGTCAAAGAGCTTCAGCAGGAGCTGCAGCAGGAGATCACTGAGCTGCAGAGGAAAGACGCTGAGCTGCAGCAGCTCTCACACACAGAGGACCACATCCAGTTTCTGACCAGCTGCCCCTCACTGCCAGCACTCAGTGAGCCCACACACTCCTCCAGCATCAGGGTGCGTCCTCTGAGCTGCTTTGAGGATGTGACAGCAGCTGTGTCAGAGCTCACAGACAAACTGCAGCACATCCTGACTCAGGACTGGACTAAAGTCTCACTGGCAGCCGCTCAGCCGGATGTTTTACTGCCATCAGAACCAGAGAGCAGAGCTGACTTCTTAAGATGTTCACGTGACATCACACTGGATCCAAACACAGCAAGCAGATACCTGTTACTGTCAGAGGGGAACAGGAAGGTGACAGATACGGATAAACCTCAGTCTTATCCTGATCATCCAGACAGATTCACTGTCTGGTCTCAGGTCCTGAGCAGAGAGAGTCTGACTGGACGTTGTTACTGGGAGGTGGAGTGGAGAGGGGAAGGAGTTGAAGTAGCAGTCGCATACAAGAATATCAGCAGGACAGGATATGGGAAGGAATCTGCAGTTGGATTTAATGACAAATCTTGGTCATTACAGTGTGATGAAGACGGTTTTACTTTTAGGTCCAACAGCATAAAAACCTCCCTCTCAGCTCCTCCTTCCTCCAGAGTAGGAGTGTACCTGGATCCCAGAGCAGGTATTCTGTCCTTCTACAGCGTCTCTAAAACCATGACTCTCCTCCACAGAGTCCAGACCACCTTCACTCAGCCTCTCTATGCTGGACTCTGTGTTTATTCTGCATCCTCAGCAGAGTTCTGTAGTTTGTAAGAGACAAAGTTAAGTTGTTTAAACATGTTACAAAGTCTTGTTTTTAGATTAATCTGTTGCCAAACTTAACATTAACCAGAGTTATGTTTCACCTGACCTCCTTCATAACAAAGTTCTCCATCTTTATTAGCCGACATCTTTTTGTCCACCAGAGGCTGCTGTTTACTGACTTATTCCACTGTCCAGGTCCTGTCAGTCAGCAGCTTTTAACTCTTTTTTCAGGCCTATGAAGAACTTATCAGGACACTTATCAGATTTATTCTCTCCTGAATTGCAGAAATTATCCTTCAGATACCCTTAGAGACTAAAGGAAACACATGCTAACATAATGTCAGCATTTTTTCTGATGAAAAAAATCTTAAACTCTTTATTCTGATTATATGCATTGTTTGATCAATCTCTTAATTTTTATTTTAGTTTCTTTTTAAAGATTATGGTGGGTTTAATAAACACTGAATATTTGGTCTCCTGGATCCTCACCAGAGTTTTGTGGACTCAGATAAAGTGTCCTCTCATCTTTTTGCTCAGAGTTCACTACTGTGACGTCTCTGCTGTTCATTTCTATTTTTCTGCTTCTTCCTGTCTTTGTGCAGCCGTGGAGGAAATCACTGCTAACCAGGAGTTTTATTAACAGAAAGTCTGAACTTCTCTGAGCTCTGAATATTCGCTGAAAATTTGTGCTGATGTATCTGAATGTTGTTCTCTCTCTTCCAGAGCAACCTGCAGAGCTTCTTTATCACAGGTTATTTTACATCTCATCACTTAAAAAATGTGGAAATTCTTTAATTTAATTTGACTTTCAAATCACACGTTATTGTTGTTTTAAAAATTCTGAAAAATGATCTGTTTGATAACCCAGAATCCTTGTCAAATAAATGTATTAATTCTGTAAACACCACTTTGCCATGAATGATGAATAAAAGATCTATTATCTGTTTTCTTTGTTGAATTTAAGATCTTTTTTAGATGGGAAATGCATTTATTGAGATTTTCAGAATATTAAAAGATGTATGAATAAAATATACATTCGGAACTGTAAAAATATGGTTAGGAAAATAATTATTTCATAAAGTAATAATAACAAATAACGTCGACTTTAAGAGACGATAAAGTTATAAATACGGTTAAAATAAAGATTGTATCTGATTAAAATTATATAAAAAA